TTACAAAAATGTATTCATCTTTAAATAGTGTTTATTAATAATATTATTTGCTATGTTTGAAAAGTACCTCCTGTTGCAGGACAGATCGAATAGATTAGACTACTAGTTGGAGAAGGTCCACCTAGTAACTAAATTAGTAGACTAGGAAAACTTTTACATGACTGGGGACACAACAGGAATGCACACACACAAAATACACAGACAAACTAAATAACAGGGATAAGCCTTCAGCAACGTCCTGTTTAAATGATGATAGTATGTCATCCTTCATTCCCTTTTAGAAGGTATGGCATATAAATCTATTGATCTTGATGACCCTAAGAGGAGTTAGCAGGGGGTGTACGGAATGGGTCTAGCAGGTTTCGATCCAGTTTACAGGATGGGAACTTACTCTACTCGGGCCTTATACATTTGTGTTGAGTGTATGTGAGTGTTTGTTTCGTTTCCATGGTTTCTATTAAAATAAACAGTCCTAACATATCAATACCTTTTTGCCAGACTAACATAAGCGACATTTGTTCAAATGGCACTTATGATAGTCTGGCAAAAAGGTATCGATATACTCTATACTTTATAAAATATTTGTTACATTAGTTTTTAAATATATTATGAATATATACTGTTACTTTCTTTGTAATTTGTCACAAAATGATACGAGGTACTTTCTAAAGGAAGCAATTGTAGTTTGTTTTTCTGTACCTTACAAAAATATAATTTATAGAAAAAGAGTTTGGTGTATTATTTTTCCAACTTTAAATATTTAATAATCAATAGAATTTTCAAGTTTTTTTTAGCGAAATTCACAAGAGTAATAAAAACTGTTCACTGCTTATATTAAACTGATTAAAACTTCCTTTATTAAAATGATTATTTATATGATAAAAAATTTGATGTTATTGGAAGCTTTTATATTTTTTTAATATACAGTGAAGCAATAGTTATTGTTTCTCCTGTAAATTTGTATAGAAAAACTATTTATTTCTGAATCCATGTTTGAATTTCCCGCCCTAAAGCAATTTTAATTTTCCCGCTATTTACTAGTGGCGCCATCATAGACTGGTTGTGGTTACAATCGCCCAAATAACTTTTACCGAACAAAAAAAATACATTGAGTTACACGTCTCGCTGGATTGTCTCTGGTCTTGTACATGCGTACGACGAGTACGTACGTGTTTCTTTCTTGCTTTGGCACATTTGATTTTTTCGAAAATAGTTATCTTGCCAAGTTAAGTATTTTTTCTTTTAAAAAAATCAATTTTCAAGATTCGTTACTGGTAATTCAAGACAGTGCACTGAAGAATTCTATCAATGTAGATAATTGTTATGAAGAATTTTGTATTGTAAAAAATGTGCTTAACCCGTTCACTGCCAGAGGACGCTTTAAAGCGTCCGCGTTACCTGCGCATGAGTATCGCTGGCGCTTTAAAGCGCCCACGACTACCTGTTGGTAAATGCGTAGTAAGTAGGACTTCGGTACTTAGGTGACTTCAGGGTTAAACTGGTCGGCAGTGAACGTGTTAATTCATTATCGAGAATAAAGAACTTAGCACGTTAGATAAGTTGACACATATTATTAAAAATTCTCCGGAATTAAAAAATATGCTTTCACTATTTCTATTCATTGCATCTATATCTACTTCCATTGCAGCTTCAGAGCATGTATTTTCTCTCTGCGATAATACATGGAACGACAATCGTTACAGACTCTTAGTGAGTCATGTCAAAGCAGAGCTCCAAATTAAAGTCGTACAGAATTTTACTACAGAAATTCGTACAGAATTTTACAAGATAATAAAAAAATGTACAACTTTTGTGGGCGGTTAAATCACAGGAAAAATATTCTCTTTCAAAAAAAGTAGCATTAGAAATTGTTATTTTATAGTTATATTTTTTGCTGGAAAGTGTTTGTTTTTGTCTGTTTTGTTTTCGGTTTTATTTATTTTTTTATATGAGTTTTACAAGTAAGAAATAATACTTAGTCTAAAGTTTTGAATATTGATTATTTTTGTTTTGCTGTACTTGTTTTTTGCATTCCTATGTTCCCAAGATTGTGATGTTTTATTTTTTTTATATAGGTTTTATGCAATGTACTTATAAAAAAATTAAAATGTTTTTTTTTTATTAGGTGTCCCGCTTTTTCTTGTTTTGTCCCACTTTTCTAATGCCTAAATCCCTCCAAATGCAAATTCAGACCTGGCAACCCGCTCTTATTTGGACATCTAAGCATGCACATATCGTTTATGTTCTAAAACTGACTTTATTAAAGATTGTGACCGTCCTTAATTTTGGATGTTTAAGGGCAGCAGGTAGTGGCGACTTTATAGCTTTCGGGTGCACTCGCCGACATTCGTATCCGTTCGAAGTTTTTTAATATTTAATATAATGTCATCTAAACCTTCTAAAATTACAATTTCTATTGCCTCTTCAATCTTATGTACTATTATAGACAACAAAAAAGATGAACTATAATTTAAAGTTATTAAAATGATGTGGTTAGAAATAAGTATATGAACAAGGATTCTAATGTCAAAATTTCAGGTTTGCAATAAGTCTGATTTTCCCAGGCAGCACACATTAGTATAACTAACGTATTTTATACGTAATACTCGTTTAATTTTGGTATTGGTTGATTCCGTATACGTTTACAGTTTACGATTATTATACATACCGTGTTTTAAACGATATATTATACGTTTTTTATATACATCCTATGATATATAATTGTAAATTTTTCTACGTTTAAATATAGTTAACAATATACGACTATTTTTAGTTTGCGATGAACTATTTATATACAGTGGGCCTAAATATACGTTTAGGTTTATTTAAATTAAATTCGTATAAATTTACATTATATTACAATATGTTTTCTTCGTTTATAATTCTCGTTTAAATTTCGTCTTGGTTGATTTTTTTAAACGTTTACCATCTACCATTTTTATACTTAACGTTTTTTAACAGATAAATTAAACGCTTTTGTTTGTCGATACTAGTTAATATACCTATATTATTCTACGTTTAAATATAAGTCACCTTAATCGCATAATACCAGTTTACGATGAACTAGTAGACAGAAGTAAATAATATGTATATATTTAGGTTTATTTAAATTAAAAGCTTATAGATGTATTTATTTACATTACATCTATATTTTTTTAATTATTATTACCTGTAATATTTATAACAAATTCCCCATACACATGGAACTATTTTTATATGGCGGATGTAGGATGACGTACTAGTGGTATGGTCTTTTCTCATTCCTACTCATGCGTATGTGTAGTATTATTGTTTAGTGTAGGGAATGGTTTGTGGGAGCAGGTTCATCGGTTGGACCATTTTCATTTGTGTACACGTTTTGTTACATGTTGCTTTGGCGTCCTGGCTTTTACGATATTGATTAAAAGCAAAGGTAAGTTTCTATTAATGTTTTAATTTAGCTACTCCTTTAATAATTGTTGCATTTTACAACAACTACTGTTTTATAGGTACGTACAGTGTGTTAAATGCTTATAGAAACTTCAAAACCTAACCTTACTTTTGTTTCTTTTATTTTTATACGTATGTTTTAGGTTACCTAGTTATTCCAAGCATACTTATTTTCCTTTTTTTTTGGTCAGTTGTTTTTTATTTAATAAAATGTCTAAAATAACCCTGTCTCTGCGTCATCTAAGTAGAAAAATAGCGCAAAATGTTCAAGATGCTTAAAACTCAATCAATTTTTTTTATTCCCAATGAAGATAACATTAATAAGGCTTTGGACATTAATATATCATCTGATTCTATTATTTATAATAATTTCCAAGAAAATAATACAAATTTAACTTCGGAGGTTTTAGAAAATATTTCACCTGAAATTTAGTTTCATTTTGGTTAAAGGAATGGAGGTGAACCAAGCGACTTAACCGACCGAACGATTAGGTGTGCCATGCAAGATTAGCTTAAGTTAGCTAAGGCCCGTGTAGGACACAACACATCCAAAGTGTTAAGCTAAGATTTTTATTTTCATATATATTTTTTATTAAAGAAAAGTTTCGTTTAATTTGTTATTCAGTATTTTAGTGTTTAATTTTCTGTATTTATTTATTTTTTAGTATTTTATTGTTTATTTTTTTTTGATTAAATATTGTTCTGTACATATAACAAGTGATCAAAAAATTTTTCTAAATATTTAGGCCAATTACAACCAAAATAGAAACATGAGTAATGCCTATTTCTGGTGTATAAACACCTGCTATGGATAAAATCCAAACTATCATTTAAGAAATATTAACATTTTTCCATGGCCTCTTTTAGAAATTTTGTTTTGATCACTTTATTTAATTTGTGTTTGAAATACATTTAAAACAATATCAGGTAGACGTATTTTACACATTAATAAAAATCATACAAATATATCAAATATAGACATATAGTAAAACAGGATAATTAAAGGTAGATAAAGTAGTAATGTTAGACATATAAAAAATAAAAAAATATACGTTTATAGTGCGGACATTTTCACGTATATATTGGGTAGCATATCAACAGTATCCATCCATATGTATATTGTAGTACATAAAAAAAACGTATTTTATGCCAAAGTGAATTCGTATAAATATACTACAACTATAAATCTAATATAGATGTATAGTAAAAACGTTTAATTATAGGTGGATAAATTCTTAGTAATCGACGTTTATAAGGCGGACATTTTCACGAATATATTTGGTAGTACATCAACCGTATTCATAAGTATGGTAGTACCTAAAAAAATACGTAATTTATACCCAAGTGTGCTGCTTGGGTTAGCATGGAATTTATTTGACTCTAATTACGATGTTATTATTAGTGGCTGGCATTATAGAAATTTGCAATATCTCTCTATTATTATGATTTACACAAGATTTAGTACTTAGGTTTTTTGTTTACAATAGCAATACCTACAAGTAAGTATACTTAGTCTTTCCGTAATCGAAAAGAGCTTAAGCTCTACATTTACCGAAATTGTATTTAATTACCTTCTTCACTAAAGTTGACTTCTTTCTTTTTTATGGGCTTCTGTGGTTTGTCTTCACCTTTTCTCTCTATCATAGAAGACACAGTCTTTTTAGATTTTACGGACTCATCAAAAGTCCTCATCAGTTTCGGTTGCTTCAACTGGTGTTTGCCCCAATTTTCAGCACTCTTAAGAGTGGAATTATAGACGTCCAAAAAATTATAATTTTGAAAGTATTGCTTGTCTGAAAGTTCATTTTTGTATTTATCCCTGAATTCCAAATGTATATCATTGAGGAACTTATCTACATAGGATAATTGCAGTATTTTTTGATAAGCTACTACGAATACCAAATCAAATTCGTTATCCAACTTGTACTGTAGCAATAAGCCATCCTGGTCAAAAGATTTAATACCTGTTCGCTCCTAAAAAAAATACATTACTAGTAAAATCAAACAATAATTTTTTTGTTAAAATGATTCAATTTGTTAGTAAATTTATTAACTCAGTTTCTTAAAACAAAACATTAAATAATTTAATTTTAAAGTGATCAACTTTATATTGGCCAAGTCACTGGATACCATATTTTTATGTAAAAAGTTAACATTTTACCTGTAGGATGACATTTTTTATTAATGCATTAACGGAAGGGGTGAATATTTGATTTGTACTTTGGAAACACCACAGTACTATGCCTCCTTTACTAAAAATAGTAAATAAATCCAACATGATTTATTATGCGTTTGTAATTTTTAAAGAAACACGTCACCCCGTGCTAATGCACGTCACTGTCGACAGTTGTCAATGTCAAATTATGGCACGTCAGAAAATTTTCATGACATTAGATTCTTTCGTTCGCTGTTGGTGCAGTGTCCACCAGTGTAAATTACACCAGTTACCCTAGTTTACTTCCTCCTTATTCCTTATGCACATGTCGAGTGTAATTAACTCCTGCTAAATAGCTGGTTGAGAAAATATTCACCAGTGTCACATACTTTTTCTTTTACTATACGGAGAATGGTCGCACTGCGCAGCTTTCTGAGTGCCTTTTAAAAGGAGATAGAATACTCCGCCATTTTGAACCATTATTACGTGTTGCCTACATCTTGGCGCAATTAGACATTCCAAACAAATAAATTGCCAGTGGGAAGGTTTGGTATATCTAAGGGTGGCGACATACGGTGTATTCTATCTACTTTACGTAAAATCATGATTAATGGATTACATTTAAATATTTTATGTCAAACACAATAAAAATAATATTTAAAAAACCCACCTATACATTTCTTCATAAATTGGCAGGCTTGGCGACTACTACTTCGAATAAAAATAGCGTCCAAGTTGCAAGATTATGTCGCTACCCCCTTAGATATACAAGAATTTCCCACTGACACCTATTGTTTGACAGGTCGTTGGAATGCCTAATATTTTTAATAGGTGCGTTTTAAGGCTAGTTCATGTAGATGCGAATCGCGAATTGCGAAAGCGAAATTCGCAAAAAAAATATATTGTTTTTTATGTCAATGCATGTACCTGCGAATGTTTTGACAGGATTCTGGGATATTTATTATTTTCACTAAAACATATTCGGCAGTTGGTATTATTCCACAACAATACATAACCCTATATAGTTCAGTGACATAACCCCGATTCGTGTCTGCTACCGATAAATAGTTTTATAAAATAAAATGAATGACGAATACGATAATGAGTTAGCTTTATTTATTGTTAAAAAATACATATTATTAGAATTAATGGTACGCAGTTTACGTCTGTGAAACATTTAAACAGGAAACAACAAAGAGCAAAATATCATAATTTAGCATATATTCGGCTAAATCACACTAAAAAAAAAAACAAAGAAGAATATCATAAACATACTAGCAAATACCGCAAATATAATACAAATATAACCTATATCATAATCCACAACAAACGAACAAACTCTAGTAGGCGCTACTACGCTTGCGCTCACATAAAATTTGTGCGATATTCGCAAAATATTAAAACGATTTCAAGATTCCCGCCCCCCAGATTTTGAATAATGCGAATTTGCAAGAAAATGAACTTTCGAGCTGTCAAAATTTCCATCTTGTCATTATTGTGATATTGACCAATGGCAGCGACCTTCGCGATTCGCAACTACATGAACTAGCCTTTAATCATCCGCTTCTGCTTCGGAATTGTCGGTTTTCTTGTTTTAATCTGACAGGTTAAAACGACTAAACCGACAATTCCGGAAGCAAAAGCGGATGATTAAAACGCACCTGATATTTTGCTTGCTGCTGTCAGTGTCAGTGAATATTTAGGCATTCCAACGACCTGTCAAATATGTGCTAGTGGGAAATTCTTGTATATCTAAGGGGGGTAGCGACTTGGACGCTATTTTTATTCGAAGTAGTAGTCGCCAAGCCTGCCAATTTATGAAGAAATGTATAGGTAGGTTTTTTAAATATTATTTTTATTGTGTTTGACATAAAACATTTAAATGTAATCCATTATTCATGATTTTACGTAAAGTATAGATAGAATACACCTTATGTCGCCACCCTTAGATATACCAAACCTTCCCACTGGCAATTCATTTGTTTGGAATGCCTAATTTTTGAAGTCACAGTTTATTGCTAAAGAATCAGTTAGCTCACTCGGACCAGTTGAAAGTTACAAAATAACATCCACTCCAGGGATACAAATTCAGGATACGCAGAAGACTGCTGTTTTATTATAGGCGGTTGTCATATATTGTATTATCCGAGTTGCACAGTGTATAAACTGAAACAATGGCCGTGTTCATCGTCGTCAAACATGTTGTAACGCTGAGTAAGCGGTGACGATGAACTGTCAACCGCTGCAGCGCTTTTGAAGAAGCATAAAGCGAAAATAAACTCGCTTGTTAGCTTTAAAAGCATAAAATTGACCTTGAACCCCTGTCAAATCCGTCTTTTGGCATTTTGTTAGGTTATGTGTTTGTTTATTTATTTATATTTTTAAACCCTAATAGAGTTGATTAGTTAAGTTGTATTTTAATATAATATTGTATTTATGGAGGTACCTGTTTGAAGAAAATAAAATTAATTCCAGACGTAGATATATACACGTATGCTTAAATTATTTCATTTGGACGTTAATGGGATTCCACCAGTAAGGAATATGGATAATATAACATACCTACATATTATATAGTTTTAGCACAGAGTTATTCAGAAAAGACGAGTTTTGTTATTAAAACTGCACCTATGTTTTTTGTTGGCATGTAATTAATGTATATAGCGCATTAAAAAATAAATAATAATAAAAGTATGACATTTTATTTACAAAATAAATTAAATATAAGTAATTATATTAAAAAGGGCCCACCTTGGTTTGTTGGACCTATAAAAAAATACCTCATTACTGTATACATTTCAAATAATTTTTGCTAATAAGTCGCTCTACCTATATGACAACATTAAATTTGTATATTTATTAATTTCCAATACAAAATATATCATTCCTATAAAACAATTACTGTATGTAGTTTGTCGACAAGGTATGTATAACTCTATAATACTATACAAATTTTAATAATACATAAAAATAATTCAGACTCAATGAATATTAGCAATGACCAAAAATGTATAACACCTAAGTACCTACATAAAAAATACTTTGTAAAAAAATAAGTAAAGCATTAGATAGGGATTATTTTAACAATTTTCGGTTTTTGTAATAAAACTTTATCATTTCTTACCTCACAGCAAGAAGCCTGTAAATTTTAAAAGGCATAACAGCAATTTTTCATTATTTTTAATGTAGAATAACAACAGTAAGATTTTAGTAAAAGTAAAACAATAATATAATAAAAAAATTTATTAAAAATAAGTGAAATAACATAATTTTATGTTAATTTATTAAAAATTAGAAAAGCGAAATAAAACTTGTTAAGTGGGCTGATTTTCTATATTTTAGTTTTTAAATGGGAGTGGAACTGTTGACGTGACTTGTTTATGTTATGCTTGGCTTTCAATACTAATACCTGAAATTAGGTAAGTTTTTTCACTAGCCCATATTTATAAGAGATAACTCTTTTTTAATAGAATGCTTTGCATCATATCACCTTTTCTTTTAAAGCAGGACATTCTTGCGTTCTTTGGGGACAATGGTACACATAACTTGAAAGTGGGTTTGTCTTGCCTAAAGCGGGACTTATGATGTTCGGTATTATGACTCAAAAATAAAAGTTTACTTCAGGTTCATTTTCATCTTTTTCTCCTTTTTCGATTCAGTTAGTTTTTAACTGGTTTGAGACACATGCCTCAAGTTCTGGGCTGGAGTCCAGTTTAAATAATTACTAACTTCGAAGGAACTCTGTTTCCCTAAAAATAAGAAAGTCATACTTGATGTCTCTATTATTATACACTTTTATGTATCCTTGGTATATGTAAAAAGATCACTTTTTGAGATGTATGTTATTAGTATCATGAGTTCCTTTACTTTAATTTATTGGTGCAGACCAGACAGTTGATTAAACACAATACACAATAAATAGCATTCTCATTCTGCTCTTCAAAGTATGATCTAGTTACAGTATGTTTTTATTTGTGAGTCAAAAAAATGTATTTTACCTGTAATAAAATGACTATTACAATTTCTTTGATTAGTCTAAGTATGTAGAATTCAAAATCCATAGAGGCAATAAAAACATCATGACTTTACAACCCAAAATAATACAAGTTGTAGGTTTTTCGCCGTAAAATTGTCAAAACCACTTTCAGAAGGGTACTTATATAAACTCTAATTCACTGTACAAATCAATTAAACTCAAATTTTTTAAAAAAATACTAAAGTAAACAATTCACATAACCTTCTTTGTGCCAACCAAATGTCATTCCATTTTTGACAGATTTGAGGTTGAGAAAACAAATCGTAAACAAAAATGATCGTTCAGCGTCATTCCAACCGCTTATGAAACATGTTTCTTTGCTTTTAAAACATGTTTGACGACGATGAACACGGCCATTGAGATCCAAAGTGCCGACGCAGAGTGAGCGATCTGATTCTTTAGCTGTAAACTGTGTTACAGGGTTCAAAATGGCCGCGCCCTATGTTGGACGTGTCGGATTCTCAGAGTAAGTAAGTCGGACCTGTTCAAGTAATCTATGGTCGGACCTCTCTCTTGCCTCGTATAGTAATCAAAGTATGTGACCTGGGGGTCGATTCTCGACTTGTAGGAACCTTTTCCTATAGGAATTTGTGACACTTTCCTATATGTAGGAAAATGTCATAAATTTTCGATGTATATAAAAATGTCAAAAATTCCTATAGGAAAAAATTCCTACGAGTCGAGAATCCACCCCCTGGGAAATTGTTCTGTGACCAGGAACCCGGACCGTAACGTTAAAAATCTGATGTGTCCAACACATGACTTTCCTATCTAGTTATTACGTAAAAACAAAAAAAATCAGAATTTTGCACATTTTGTCAAATTTCTCGAATACGGACCATTTCAGGAAATTTTGACATAAAACAAAAATTATAGAAAATAATATTAGAAGTAACTGTTAATTGAACAATTTTCTTCTCCAAACATAAATAACAGATATATTCCATAAAATATAAAATCGGTCTCCCATAAAGTACCCCCCCAGATGTTCCGACTTTGTCCAAAATCTAATCATTGCACGTCAGGCCGAAATAAACCTTAAGTTTAAAATTTAATGTTTTTTTCTATATCCGTTTTTGAGTTTTCTTCAAAATTCGAAATTTACACATTTTCTCAAATATCTCGAATACGGTCCATTTTAGAGAAATTATGTATAGAATAAAAATTATAGAGAATTATATTACAAACAACTTTTATTTGAACAATTTTTATAAAAAATTATTTTTTTTACATTTTGTCAAATTTCTCGAATACGGACCATTTTAGGAAAATTTTTCATATAACAAAAATTATAGATAATTATATTAGAAGTAACTTTTATTTGAAGAATTTTCTTCTCCAAACGTAAATAACAGATATATTCCATAAAATATAAAAATGACCACCTATAAAGTACCCCCCCAGATGTTCCGACTCTGCCCAAAATCTAATCAGCTCATTGGACGCTGAAACAAAGCTTAAGTTTAAAATTTGGTGTTTTTCTGTGTATCGGTTCATGAGTTATGCGTTATACAGACACACACACAGACACACACACACACAGACACACACACACACACAGACATCATCGCGAAAATAGTCAAAACGGATTCAGGGGACCTCAAAACGTAAAAATCCGTCGAAAACTCGAGGTCGAAAAAAATCATGATTCCTATACTTTCCTTATATCTGTATACAGATAGGAAAGTAAAAACAGAAAACCGCACCGAAACCAAAAACTTTTATTGGACCGGAACCGAAACTGAACCAATATTTTATCCAGGACTCGGCCCGATGTAAGTAGGGCATGTTCGCCCAGCCGAATGTCGGCAGCTCACTAAACTGTAGCCGCGTTCATACAGGGTAGCTGTTAAAGATGGAACCAAACCTATAGTGCTTAAACGGTTCAACACACAAAACCCAAAATTTTAGAATTTAAATATATTTGCGCATATTTTAGCCCAAAAATTATTTTTTTATGATAACAAAATTTTAAGCATGGTCGACATCTTGATTTTTTTAAATAGCAACATAGGTCATGTGGTATACCATTTGAAAAGGTTTAACACCCTGATTACAAAAATCTATCACACATGCGGTGTAAACACAACAGAAATGATATTATTAATAGGGAGCGTAGGAGGCTGTGCATTTGACGTCAAACATTTAAACAATAACATTTATTGTTGATTAAGTTGCAAGAGACAGGTGTCGAATAGTAAAATAATTTGTTAAATTAAATCATTTCAAAGTAATTAGTAATAATGAATCAATTGACCAAAAATGAAAGAATTGAAATAATACTCATGATGGTTGAGTATGGAGAAAGAAAACGCACGCACGAAGAGGTAGCCAATTTCTGTTTAGACCCCATGTGTGATACTTTTTTGTAATCAGGGTATTAAACCCTTTCAAATGATATATCACATGACCTATGTTGCTAATTAAAAAAATCAAGATGGCGGCCAAGCTTAAAATTTTGTAATTATAAAAAAATAATTTTTAGGCTAAAATATGCGTAAATGTATTTAGTTGAAATTCTGAAATTTTGGGATTTGTATGTTGAACCGTTTAAGCACTATAGGTTTGGTTCCATCTTTAACAGCTACCCTGTATATACAATTCGACCCATAAGGATGCTCCCATGCCCGGCTAGCCAAATATTCACCGGGTTCCGCCCTTAAGGATCCCTCCATGTCTGGAACGCCATATATGGGCCTCATACGGTTTCTACTTCTAAATTACGTCAAATGGTATACGGTCCTCCCGACTCAGAAGAAATGCCGACAACGGCAATCCGAGTACTCGGCTTCTCGTACATGCCGGTGAATTACATCAACTATCCTTATGGGATTTGAAGAGTCAACGACTTTTTTTTAGAAACTCTTATCGCGTATCTTATTTCATTGCATTTTTATGTGAATTATTTACTTGATAATTAGATCTCTTGGTAGTGTATTATATGCCGCGTTTGAGAATCCACATCGGATGCATCTGAGATGTAGTAAATCTTTGATCACGTGATTCAGTATACGTAAATGTAATGGGACAGATGTGTCCGATGTGGATAAGAAAACGCTCGAGATGTAAAAAATGCATCCGCTGTGGATTCTCAAACGCGGCAATAGTAGATGAAATAAAACTTGTAAAAGTTTAAAATCTTTTTTTAAAGAACGAAGTTTGATATCAGAAAATATTTGTAGTGTCCGGCCGAGCGAATGCCGACTATTTGTGGTTTACTTTGCAATTTGTATAAATGAAAATAAATAAAGAATGATTAAATTATTATTTACATTTCCTTTTTCTGCTTGTTGTCTACCTATTTTATTTAAATAAATTGACTCCTAAAATAATATAATTAATTTATGTATTAAATAAAATTATACTACACCTATTTAAAACTCAAATTTTTATATTTGTAATGTTTGTCCTTTATAAGCAATTATAAAGGTATGGAAAATGTGTACCGAAAAGAACCGTTTAGACCGAAAAATTTGGTCAGAACAGAACCGAAATATTTAACCGTAAAATTCATTTCGGTCTGGGTCCCTGGTGGACACCACATAGCCGACACGAAGGTTTATGAGGCGAGTTCGGATAGTCAGGGGCTGGAGCGGGACATATTTTAGGGTGCTTTTAAATGACATTTAAGCGTGTTAAACTGTTACTAATCGGACTTAACCGAACGCTAAAAGGGTCGTTTGGAGTTAAAAGTGTTAAAGGAGTTAAAGGAACTTGGCATACCGAACGCAATGATGGTATAGTGGGTCACAGAACACTTACTCTAGTGGGTTTTACTGTATGGTTTTACCCCAGTATGAACTCAACTGAATCGGACTTGAACATAGATTAGGTAAAGTTCACTTAGGGCCGATTCCACCGTTGTGTTAAACGGAGATTAAAATGACATTGTTAATGTAAAAATGTAATTTTAAACTTCGTTTAACACAACGGTGGAATCGGTCCTTAGTAATCTATTGGTAAAGTGAATCCTCGTCCTTGAACGAAAATCGAAGTTCGGTTATGTCGTTATATCGCGTTAATTTAAGAGATGGGTAGTAGCAAATCCGTAACTAGACTAGGATCCGTAAATGTTAAAGATTTTCTAATATCCATCTCTAAATTCCAATGTAACACCGGAACGACATGGAACCTTAGGGACATTGGGGTCTATTCTGTAACAATTCCTTTATATTTAACGGCCTTTAAAAATATTTGGCGACCTTTAAAAATATGTTCGTATTCGTTAATTTACTTCTGTCATTATTTAAAAAGATTTCTTTAAGATAATCCTCTAATGTATTTTAAAGATCCGTTTAAATAATGACAGAAGTAAAGAAGAAAATATTTTTAAAGGCCGTTAAATATAAAGGAATTGTTACAGAATAGACCCCATTGTAACCGAACCTATGAACCGAACTTGGATTTTAGTTCAAGAACGACTTGTAATAATCTATCGACTTACCCAAGTTCGACTCAGTTGAGTTCAGCATTGAGATTCTCATCTTTCAATTGATAGGACTGAAGAGTAAAGTGTTCTGTGGGACTGACAGACGTCAAATGTCAAATCGGTATGTTGTGTTTTCATTTTTCATTTCCAATCGGGGTATAAAAGTGATGATTAATTTAAAATTTTTTGTTTTTGAAAACACTGACTTAAAGTTTATTCCGTAAGCGATATTAATAAGCAAATCGTTATCCAAATTAATAAAAGTTTGTTTAGGTTTTTCATCGGTTTAAATTACTTAAAAAACCAGAATTTGCTGATAACACATCAAATTAACTTTTTTCAAGGATATACGCGTTGGATAATTTATTAATAATTAATTTTGCTCTATTTTTTTATCGTATTTGAAACAATTTTTCTATAATTTATTGTAAATACGTTGCAGCGATTTTTATCGATTATTTCTCAGAAAATGTCAAAAATGAGAATGTGTATTGTTTGTTAAAACTTTTTATGCACTGGTGACGTAATTTAATGAGTTATGAACTTTAAGAAAAAAGTAAAAACTTGATAACAAACATGGATGAAGTAAATTTAGTAAGGTAAGTGCATCTTTACCACTATATTTTTGTTTATTAAAAAGTCGCAAAAACAAAGTGCGGTTATTGTTATTATGTAATAAACATTTCGTGCTCTTAAGTACTTTACACCTAATAAGGAAAACCTTGTTAAACTCTGTAATTATTTACCAGTCTACTCAATTATCTTTCATGTCAGTAGCGACAAAAAGCTACTAAAAATAGAGCCATTTGTGAATGAATGCATCAGAGTATTTTTACAGTGTTGATGTTTATTTTGGACCAAATTCCAAATTTATAAGGTCAGACTTTGATAGTCAAATGCAGATAAACTCTTAATATAAAATAAGGAAATGGGTGATTAAGAAATTAGAGTAATTTAAATATAACTTATTAGGTCAATAAATATATACTTATACTTTTATCATTATTACAAAATTTTTCCTAAAAGTAACTATTAGAATTTGTTTTAATCATTGTAACAATATACATATTTATTGTTTATTTTCTTGTAATAAGTAATATCAATCTTTTAATTGCTTTTATTTTATAAAGGATGGGTAATTGTCAAGTTTGAGGTCTTTCCCTTATGAAGAAAACTAGGCCCTTACGTACCTGTAGGTATCATGATTGTAAACAAAACATCTTAGTAACATATCTTGTCCAAATTAATAATAATGACACAATTAATTTTTTTTAAATAAAAATATTTCATGAATTGTCTCAAATCAAAGCTCAAGCATGCTACTTTTATGTCTTACACTGTTGACAAGTCCCACAAAAAGTTTACCATTCAATTATTTAGTATCAAAAGTAGGTACAGCAATTCATTTCTAATAATTTTCCTTGCCTTAACAATATTTTATAAATATTATAACTATTGACATTGTTTTTGCCACCCAGCACCCCTAGTTACTCCTTTTCCCGTAAAATTGATAAAATTAATGGAAAAATGGCATTTTTATTTAAAAACATGTGTGTCCTTATTCGATTGCACAAGATATGGAACTTAGGATTTTTTGTTTACAAGAGCAATACCTACAAGTACCTATGCTTAGTTTTTCCGTAATAGAAAAGAGCTCAAACTAGACATTTACAAAGGATTGAAATTGAAAACTTTGTTCTTATATTTGACTTTATCAGATTCTAAATTATCCTGATTTGGTAATTGGCCTTGATGTTGATGGCCAGAGTCCCCTATTTTTACTGTTTTTTTGATGAGTAAGTGTAATTTTACTTAAATTGTATTCACATTGGCTATAATATTTTTAGAGTCCTGCAGGGTTATTCTATTAAATTTATAGCCCGGCTACAAGTTGGATTTCGGCTTGAACTTTATATGTTCCTAACTTCAAAGTGGAGTGCTAGCTTTTTCGTATTCTGTTAAGCTTCTAGCACCCCTTATAGTCTGCATATGATGACTATACTGTAGTCTATTCTTATAAGCACCAAATAAGGTACCTATTAAAATTAAAAGTATGCTAGAGGTGTACACATATCCTATTTTTTGTTTTATTGGAATTTGATGTGAGAGTTGTGAATATTTATCGGACAATTATAAAACGGCAAAAGTTAAGTGGAGTTCATGTGCCAGAGATAGAAGAACTGGAAATTAATAATATTGAAGATAACATTGGTATTAATAATGATGTAGCAGACATTCCAATAAGAAACCAAATAGTTGCCAATTTTTTTTCAGGAATAAAATTTATTTCAATGTTAACTTTATTTTTTAAAAAAATCAAAATATTTGTTTTGTTTTATTTAAATATAAAATGGAAACATAAATAAAACTAAAACATTACAAACAAAAAACAAACACAACACTAAAACATTAGGAACAAAAATAAAATAAATATATACCTACAACTCTACAAAAATAAATAAAACGCAATGAATATTGATATAAAATAAAAAAAAAATATCACAAATAAAAAATCCCAAAATGTGTTACCAAAAGGGAGAAAAATTTACATGACACAAAAAAAATGCTCATTTAGAAAGATATTGCTTAGCAATGTCGCCTAAATAATTGGACTGTTTGCAATATTATTTGTGGCTTTTGCCACATTTTCCAATGCCACTGCAACAGCATTCAACCCATTCATTCTTCTTTTTTGAAAAGCATTTAGACTAAACATCTATGTGCTATGAGCAAAATCATATAATTATTCTTCTTGATGTTCTTAGAACACAACGTTGCCAAACCTCACAGACTAATTTTCTAGTACTGTAGTTGTAGCCCTATTAAATTTATAGTCGGACTATTTCTAAGACTAGTAGAATATGGCTGGACTATAATTTAGAGTCTACATGTTTAGTATGCTAAACTTATAGTCTCTTTTATAGTTCTTTAGTAGAATAACCCTGCTGATGATGCCTTAATCAGCAAAAGCGCTTAACTAATTTAAAATAAAGTGAAATTGTTTTAAACAATTTCTCCTATACACACTTTAAATACACAATCCTTCATTTTCTCCTACTACTTAGTGTGTACACACTAATTAAATTTTTATATTATTTTCTTGGTACCTTATGGGATGGATGTACTTTTGACTAACTTTTTCAAATATTTTATTTTTATAATTAAATTGAATATTTTGATGCATAAACATTAGCCTAACGTCTATATACCATTTCTAAAAATATTGTATTAGATTTTTAAATAATATTTTTGTTATACCTTACTTTTACAATTTGTTTTTTTTTAGTAGATCAAGTTACTCAAGATTAACAATTTTCTGAACCTTCCCAGCACAATATTTAAACTACTCAAATTAAAAAAGGACCCCCTATATTATTTTGATAAATCTTATTTGTGCCACTAATTATGAACAAAAAGTTATTTGTCTACTTAATTAACATAGATTACAACAAAAAGTAATAATAATAAAATGTCTTTATTTAACAAATGTATTTACATCATTTGTCCTGAAAAGGTCAAGATTAGCTAGGAAGCTATTTTTTAACTTTTAATTTTTTCAGTTTACAGAGAGATAAAAAAAATACAATATAGAATAAAAACATAAAAAATACAATATGGAATTAAATTTAACCTATTATATAACTAGAAGAAAAAAACAAGATTTAAAATTGTCGACCTTGTAATATGTTTTTTATCCTTTTGCAGAAAGTGTGAATTGATAATGATAAAATCTGGTTTAAATAAAAACTACAGTTTAATAGAGTTATATGTAAAACTGCTCTCGAAAAAAGCTGAAGAGTGATGTGGCATGGCGAGAGTGTGTATGTGTCTGCTGTTACTATTTCTGAACATTAGTTTTTCAAATAAATAAGTTGGACATTGAGCTTTGATAAGTCAATATAAAAAGACTAATAGACTTGGTGAAATAAGTAATATAGCTTTAGCCATTTTAGTTGCCGAATATGTTGAGAGACAATCATGATTGTATTTTCTTAAATTAAAGATAAATTGCAACAATTATTTTGTTAAGTTGTACCTGGTTTTGAGTAACTCTATCCAGACAAGGGTAATATACGATATTACAATACATTAACAAAGATAACTCTAAGTATTTGTACAGTTTTTCTCATTTTGAAGTTTAGAATATGTTTACTTGCATAGAGCATCCTCATATGTATGTAACATTTTTGTAGTAGAATGTTAACATGTTTTTTAAACCTTGGATCAGAGTCAATTACAAGTCCTAGATCTTTAGCAATATCAGAAATATTAAGTTGTGTGTTGTCCAATTCAAGTCTAATATTATTCTTAATAGTTGTTCGAACATTCTTATTGCAAAACAAAAGTACCATGGATTTAGAAGAGTTGATAGACAAGTTATGACTCTTGGAAAATTCTATAATTTTATCTAAATTATTTATTGTACTATATTTTTATAGAAATATCCAATAAAAAACAATTGTAGTAAAAAATATCCAGTGTGTCCTTTTTTACTTATCTTGATAAAAGGGAAGTATTGTAATTGCTAAAAAGTCACCTTGCCAGATTATTTCAGATTTTCACATTTTAGGGTCCCTAGATTACGACGAAAAACATGTTTCCCCATTCCGTTGGTCTGTCTGTTTGTCTGTTGGCATGATAGCTCAAAAATAGCTTTATAGAAAAACTTCAAATTTTGTATGCAGATAAGGTTCTTTTCTGTCTCAAAACCAGTAATACTTCCGATCAGTTATATTCAGGGAAAGCAGTTTTTTTTAAATTATTTTTAAAAGTCTGCAGATTTCGACTATAATTTATATCTGAGAATTTTAGAAGCCGAAGATAACAGATCCTAAATAAGTTTTTAAAAATTCAAAATGGCATTGAAAGGAATCGCATTTAATCAAAAAAGCTTTCACTTGAATGGAAATAGTAAAAAGCATCCTTTTGATTGTGTAACTGGACCATTTTAAAAGCAGCCAATTATTATTGTTCAATGATAGTGAACTTGACGAAGAATACCGAGCGGACGGGAAGTGAGATTTCGGGCGGGATCAAGAGGAATATCGATGAGAGAAATGTAAAAAAGGGTTTCTGTTTTTGTGGTTTTAATTTTAAATTATTAAAATTTAAGTACTTAGGCATTCCCTGTTTTTACAATTTTTTTATCGAGGGAAGTTCTGGGTTAAAATACTTTACCGAATTTTTCGTTTTGAGTAGTCTTAAAATTGACTCTTATAGTTAAACAAAATGGCCTACCAAAGTTGGATTTTTTTAAATAGATCACCCTATTTATTTGTAGTTTTTTGGAATATACAGTTTAAATAAGTAATGGGTTGCTAGGAAAAGTCCACAGACAAGTGAGACGGATTAGTCTGAAAAGTTGACTAGTCCAAACATACTTTTCAAAAGTGGAAAAGTGTATTGGGTATGGATGAAGTTAACTAATTTGTCTGAATTTATTACAAGTAAACACAAAATATTGTTAAAAAAGAAGAAACGGCAAAAAATGATTACTGTCTTTTGTGTTTTAACAGGGTTTTTGTATTTTCGTTATATACGAGTATCTTATTTAAATAAAAACGTGAAAAAATTAACAAATCCATAGGTTGGAAGTATT